ACCCAACTACCTTTAAGAGAAACCCGGGCCTCAACCTCTTCTCGAACTCTATACAACTCTGTCGCCATGAGTTCTGGTCTAAATCTAAAGAGGCTAGTGAAAGCTGCCTCAAACTTAGCTACTGGCAAACTAAGCTACTTAAACTTCAGGAACTGATCTCTCAACTTCTCCCTAGTAGTGGAAGGCAAGAACATGTCCTGAAAGGCGTTGACAAAGGCCTCCCAAGTCGCCCCAATGCGCCCACGCTTATACTTCCACCACTGACCTGCATCTCCCTTTAGTTGAAAGGATGCCAAGGTTAATCTCAGCCTGTCGTCCTCAATGCCAAGCATCTCGAACGTCTTCACTATCTGTTCAAGCCATTCATCTGCTTTCAGTGGCTCTTTAGGATCACCCAAAAACTTATCTGGATTCAACCAGAAGAACTTCCTTTCTGCTTTAGCAATTTGGGCCTGGACTTGATTCTCAACCCTAAGAATGTCCATGGATTCCCGCAAAGCTCCACCTATTTCACGGGCCAAAGCACCCATGGCCTACTAACCAACTGGTTCGACCACATTGGCCTGACCAACCCCTTCCTCTTGCGCCGAAATCTCATTTGATAAAAGCACCTCATGCTTTCTAGACCTACCACGCCTACCACCACCACGTCCACATCCTAACATCCTAATGAAGGTAATAAAAGATATTAGCACATTTATAAATGTGCCGAAGCTAACTCACTCGCATCCTAATGCGATGGACAACAATAATTCACTCTACATAAGCACGTAGCCACATAAACACATGAATTTCCATCCTAGATAATGATCGTCTCGCGGCATTGCCAGAGTTCCAAATAGAAACAGTAGTAATCAAGTGCTCTTCTAATAGGACTTCTAGAAATCCATAGACCCAATCAATATCTTGGGAATTAAATCTCATACCCATATAATTACATAAGCATGTTATCACATAGCATTACAAACATACAAACATCTCTTTCAAGCGAGATAAACCCACTGTGGTAAGAACCACTTCCCATGTACCCAAACTATTCAAACCCAGTACATTCTGATACCAAATTGTAATGCCCCAGAATAATTACTATAAGCCATCCATACTATGAATTACATAACAACACATGATGAAATGGTTATCTTTCATTTATCTTAAATTCTTGTACAAAGAGTGACATATGCAGATATAAATTCACAAGTCTAACTATGAATCTATAGCATATGTTACAACAAGAGGTAAGATACGAAAGTAAACAAATAAATAAATGCCCTAAAGGCTTACAACTTTCCATGACAATGCTGGGTTACAACAAAAGTAGACTTAAGTCCAATACAGTTAAAGCTCTTGGTTTGTATGAAAATAAATACAGCAAATACACAAAAGAAACTCTCGCTCCAAGTCCTCCCAAGCTATTGCCTTGGCGAAGGCATATCATCAACACCTGAAATGTATTTCTCACGTAGGGTGAGCCAAAGCCAAGTAGAAATAATCCAACACAATATATGAATCTTAACAAAGTTATAAAGTGAATGCATATACAATGCTCGTGCCAAAACACTTTAAACCTTTTTCCAAAACTATGCAATGCCATAATAATATCAGGGTTCATAAATCATTTCCTTTACAATAGAAAATAGGGCAGCGAATCACACTCTGGGATTTCAAAACAATACAACCTTTCTCGAAAATTTCATCAGGAGGAAAAGTAGGTCCCATGTAAAAGTAGGCTATACAAGCACTACTATTGCCATTTCACTAAAATTTCGTTTGCAAGATCGACACACATGTATATGTGCGGTTTTTAGGATTTTCTATATGGACACTCAAGCCAACTTATTTCAACATTACAATTCATGTTTCCTAGATTCACCAATTTTTATCCAAAACGATAAACATTTCCAATGTATAGACGTGAGATAATGCTCAATGCAAATGTATGAGAAAATAGTTTCAATTCTCCTAATTCACATGAAATTTCTACAACACTCATAGTTATCCTCCAATGATAGCCCAAAACAAATATTTCTAAATAGATAAACAATGTTCGATAAAGATAAACTTTTCAAATTTCAAGAGGTGAGCGATAATACATATCCAACTCCACAATCCCCACCAATATCAATCCAATTTTGCAATTTGGCTATCAATGTGATAATTTATATAAAATCAACAATTGAAATATTTAGGGCAAAATCCATTTTCTTTCCAAAATCAATCCTAATATTCAAAATCAACAATTTATTCCCAACTCAATATTATTTTCCATATCAAAATCATTTTCAAGGATCCATTTGAAAAACCCCTCTTTTTGATTTTTTTCCCAAAACCCTAGATTGTTCAAAAATCGCAATATTGTTTAGAAAGAACAAATAACCAAGTTAAAACTCAGAAAAAGTATGGAAATATCCTTACCTCAAGCTTAGAAGACGAGAGAAAGAATGAAGACACTTCAAGGACGCCAAAACGCAACTTTGTTCAGATCAAAAGGAAGCCCACGACGTGCTCTACCTTTTTAACAAAGCAACATGGGTGAAGAACTCGACAGATCTAGGTGTATTTGTAGAGAGAATGTGAGTTTTAGAGAGAGAAAGTCTCAATTAGGGTTTTGAAATGTTTAGAGAGAGAGAGAAAGATGAAAAAGTGATGTAAAAAGTGACTTTTACAGACTGATATACGCACAGATCGGTCGAGCACAAGAAGTGTCGCTCGAGAGACCAGACACAATAAGTTGTTCTGCTCGAGTGCAAGAATCTTCGCTCGAGCATAGAATACAATCTCCCAGAAGTTTTACAGACAGAAAGTCGTCGCACAAGCGCAAAAAGTGTGGCTCGAGCGAAGAATACACACTTCTAGTACTTTTGTAGACCTACAAAAGTACTGGAGGTTCAGAAAGACCGCTCGAGTGTAAAAAGTGTCGTTCGAGCGTAGGAACAAAATTCTGGTTATCAAAAGTTTGAAAAACAAGCTACCAACCTATTCCAAACACAATCAATACAACCCAATAGTCAAACTTAAGTTGAAGTAGTGGAAGACAAGACAGGAACAACTATATAAGACAATGAAACCCAGATCCGAAACATAGAATGGCGGGTCTAAACCTGAAACGCTATAGCAATGGTAAGTCTAACCTTAAGCTTTTGAAATGACTTCTCACAAGTCTTATTCCACACCAAATTTTGATTCCCTTCCTCGTCAGTCTAATCAACAGTGAGGCTAATTTAGAGAAATCTTTTCACAAAACCGATGGTAATACCCGACCAACCCAAGAAACTACGAACTCAAAAGCATTCTTAGGTTGTTCTAAATCTTGTATTGATTCTAACTTGGATTAATCTACAATCACTCCTCCCCCGAATACCACATGGCCTAAGAACTTTACTTTCTCAACCAGAATTCACACTTCTCAAACTTAGCATACAGTTTGTGGCTCTAAGCACCTCAAGTACCACTCGTAGGTGTTCCTCGTGTTCCTCCTCGAATGGTGAGTAAATTAAGATGTCATCAACACAAGACAACTACAAAACAGTCTAGGAACTCATGAAAGATCTGATTCATCAAATCCATAAACACGGTTGGTGCATTGGTTAGCCCAAAAGACATCACTAGGAAACTCATAATGGCCATACCGTGTACGAAATATCGTCTTTAGAATAGCTTCCTCCTTACCCTCAACTGTTGAAAACCTTATCTCAGGTCTATCTTAGAAAAAACAACAAGACTCTTTCAAACTAATCAAACAAATCATCTATATGAGGCATTGGGTAATTGATCTTAACAATCACCCAGTTCAATTTCTGGTAATCTATACAAAGTCACAATTCTCATCTTTCTTCTTGGCAAAGAGAGCTGGTGCTCCCAAGGCAAAGTACTAGGGCGGTAAAACCCTTATCTAACAATTCTTGGAGTTGAATCTTCAACTCACTCAATTCGGCAAGTGCAAATCTATACGGTGCCATAGAAATCAGTGTTGTGCTAGGCACTAAATCAATAGAGAACTCAATCTCACAGTGAGTGGTAACCTAGTGAGATCCTCGAAAAAACGTCCAGGTATTCTCAAACTACCCTTGGCAATTTGACTCAGACTTCATCACACTCACTGCTCAAAAAGTTTGCAAGAGACAACTAGGCTCACTCCGACCTCGCGGATTACATACTGGCAATGAGCTCTATCGGCTCTGTCCCCCATGAAATAAAAACAACCACTCAAGGAACACACAGTAATCCTCTGCGGTAACAATCTATGACAGCCCGATACAATGACAACCAGTCTATATCCAATATAGCATAAAAACTTGACATGCCAATCAACATAAATCCAAAAAGAAGCTGGGCGACCAGTAATCTCTATCTCACAACCTTGACACCCCTGTTCTAGTACAATCTCACCAATAACAAGTGACTGTACACTGAGTGGAGATGCTATCCGGGCCAATTCTAATCCCAAATACGATGCAAATACAGACGAGATGAATAAATGGGATGCACCGATATCAATTAACACATATGCAATAGAATTACACAATAAGAAGTTACCTCGTACTACCGAAGGCGAAAGCGCTGGCACTAAGTCTGGCATGGTAACAGCATACACATGCCCTGCAGAGTCTTTGCTCCACCTGCTCACCCCTCGGAGCTTAAGTCTAATACACTGACTGGGCCAAGAGGCCCCTAATTTGCCCTCAAGGCCTGTATTGACTGGGTAGGCTAATGATTCTATGTCTGCCTCAAACCAGCACTAGGTGTGCACCCAGTTGAGGACAAAACCTCTTCATATGCCCTGACTGCTCCACATTGATAACAAGTAGGCTGTTGCCCTCTCCCTTGACTCTGGCTTGGCACAACAATTTGCTTTAATAATTCAAAAAGCATAGAGCTCTAGTATTTTGTGCTCGAATATGACAAAAATATACTGAAAATGATTAAGGTTTTTACCACAATTCCTCGATCTAGGTATACTTTACACCATTTTGTAACTAATCTGTCAATTGTGTAAATAATGCAACATCTCAATTGAATGTTTACTATATACTTTTCAGTTATGGTATGCACTAGTAAAGACACTCTCAGAGCAAGCTGCTTGGGCTCTAGCCATGGACCGAATGCTTAACATGGTGTCTATAAATGCCGGGCTAGTTCTTGGACCTGCCATTGCTCAAAAGAATCCCCAAGTGACAATGTCATATCTTCAAGGTTCGCATGTTAAACACGCCTAAAATCCTTTTTTCTTAGTTTACCTTACCTATCGGTAAGAGTGTTATTTAATCTTCTGAATTCTGATGTTACAGGGGCAGCGCAGATGTATGAAAACGGAGTCCTAGCAATAGTTGATGTGAACTTTCTAGCAGATGTTAATATTCGTGCTTTTGAGGATCGGTCCACATGTGGGAGATACTTTTGCTTCAATAAAATTGTGAATTCTGAACAAGAAGCTGTGAAACTTGCAGAAAGCTTGAGTCCTTTGATCTCCTTACCACCTAGGTAAAGACCATTAGTCATTGAGTTCTTAGCATTGCCATAATTTTTTACACCATGTTTTGGTAACTATTATATTGGGTTCTACTCAGCTTACCATGTATTGGTTTGCAAATGTTGTAAATCCCATGTGTGGTAAGAAGGTGTTTGATAAAAACAATGACTTGCAAGATGCTCTAAAAGCAAGTTTTTGAGCAATGCATCACTATCACTCTGCCACGCATGGGATTCATCTTGCAAAAGAGCCTGAATTTGTCAAATCAATATTTGGATTCAAGGCTAGAATATAGTTGGAAAATCTAGTGATTGATGATTACAGAAACAGTCCCTTCACATGCCGGAGGAAGGTTGCCTTTATCTAACCCTTCTTAAACCCCCACATCATATTTGTTTGGAAAAACTGGATTAGATATGATTAGCATTTCTAAAGCGGTTACTCCTAGGATTAGTAATCATTTAGTTTGTTTGGATTGACCAAAAATATGAGGTTTTGCCAAAATCCTATCAATTTCTTAATTTAGCCAATTAGTATGAACTTTTCCTTAGTCCTTCATTTTGTATATCGACCCCTTCTTTGGATTTAACATTCCCCCATAAGGTCATGTTTGGGAGGACTATTAGTCCAGGCCCCAATTTTCTTAGCCAAATATGGAATTATTTATTTTGTTGGATTATTAATCTAATTCCAAGGTCATATATATCCACTGAAACAAACATGACCATAACGATGAGAATCTCATGCACTAAACTGTCTTAGACAAGTGCCTGATGAAATTAGTGTCAAGTTGAAGAAAGAAAAAGGAAAATAAACTGGTTGGTTTAACAAATGTATGATCAGATGATTATGGATCTAACCACTAAATAGGAGTGCTCTGTAAATCTTGCCTCAGCATTTTGGGCTAAATCTTGGTCTTGTTTGTGAACAGGTATGAATGCCAAGGAAGGGAAGTGTATGCTGAGAAATTAAGGAACAAGAAATTAAACAAGCTGGTTGAAGGCACTGTCTATTAGCATCAGCCATGCCATATTACGTGCATTTTCTTTTTCTTTTTTTTTCTTTTTTGTTTCTTTGCTATTTGTTATGTATGCAAATATCATTAATGATCTTAAGGCTTGGTAATTGTAACATCTCAGGTTGAGACCCGACCCTTATTCATATAAAGATGGTTGTATTAAAAAGGTTTTCTATCAAAAATTGGACTTAGCTTGGAAATTTTCTAAGTGTAAAAATTTGATTTTTCAAAACTTACGATTTTGAAAATAATTTTTTATGGTAATTGTTCATTATATATTAAATAGTCTAATTTGATTTTATGAAATTTTTCTTTGAGATATTAACCACTTTACTTCATCTTCAAACTTAGAAATTTTAGTCGAAAATTTATTTTTGTACTAAAACTTGGGAACCACCTTTTTGATTTAATTGGATTTTGATTTTTTTGTAATTTTTTTTAATCTAAATGGGGGATATTTTCTTATTTATATTGTAAATTTAAGTAAATGACATATAAATTTACTTAAATGGTTACATATGCAAATAAGGTTGATGTGCAGAGAGTGCCTTGGGAACTAAACCTGTGAGGTTGTGACTCTTCAACAAATCTCAGTTTGCTCGAGCGCAACAGTGAGCGCTCGAGCGATCTGTTCCTCACTCGCAGAGATGCCAGAAGCTCTCATTCTTTGCTTGAGCGCAAGATTGAGCGCTCGAGTGGTCTGTTTGATTGCGCGCTCCACGTTTTCTTCCCCCCTCTCTTCCTCTCTCTCTTCTAATTCGAAAAACCCTAGCCCTAAACCTTTGATTTCACCCATTTTCACCAAGAATCCATCTTTGATCGTGTAATAAAAGTGAAGAACAAGCCTAGATCAACATCTTGACTAATTAGTTTGTGCTCTCCTTGAGGTTTCTTTTGGGGTCTTCATCTTGTAGCTTCTATCTTTGAGGTAGGAATACTCTTAACTTCGTATATCTATGATTTGAGATACATATGTAGTATTTCCTTAGTTATATATATGTATGAGATGATTGTGTTGTAATAAATGAGTTTTTGTGCATTAAAAAGGGGTTTTATCCAAAGTTCTGAAAGATTTTGAATATCTATTGATGATAAAGGTTGTTGATGATGAATATTTGTTTCAGGTTTACAAATGAGGGAAAAGTCTTGAATTTTTATAAAACCCTAATTTTGATTTTGCTCTAAAGAAGGAATTTGTTCAAAAATTGGACTATGAAATGTGAAATTGAGTTGATATTTAGTATATATACATTTTGTTATTGATTTGGAGTAGTTTGGTTTTCATCATTAAGATGGAGGAGTTTGACTATGCTAATCGTGTGGGAATCGTATAGGAATGGGAGATTTCTTTAGTCATGGACTATGTTAAATTTCTATTGTTAACGAATGAATCTTAGGAAAATTGAAATGTTTACAAACCCATGCATTGCATTGTATCCCACAATTTTATTTCATGATTGGTTTAATCTCTTGGATATTTGGAAATGTTGAAAGGAGATAAATAGCGTATGAGTCCGGGTAGTTGAGTCGGATTTTAAAAATGGATTGAGTATTGTATTAGTACCCGTGCAAGGAGTCAATGTGTCTAATTGTTCGGTCTTAAGCTTATCGCCAAACGAATGTGGAAAAATGGTTTTGGGTGTCTATTGGCCCCACCGTTTCAAGAGTAGACAAATGTGGAAAAATAATGTTTTTGCGTGTCCTACTAGCCTTGCCCTTTTTAGAGTCGGCAAATGTGAAAGGAAAAAGGTTTTTGGGTGACCATCGCCTCGCCATTTCTAGAGTCGGTAAATGTGGGGATATTTTCAATATATAAATCTATATATATATGTGTGTGTGTGTGTGTGTGTGTGTGTATGGTTTTGCGGCTCTTGCTTGGGACGTCATTGTATATTTACCGCTCCATTAGTGATGATGAGTTTTTGACTAGAAATTATGCATTGAACATCATTGATTTTTTATTTTATTTTATAGATTTGATTCATATAAGATATTACAAAGAAACCCAAATTACAATCATACCAATGGAAATCAAATACAATACAACTTTTTACAAAGAAACTCCCAAAGTGGGAGAGAAAGCCCCAATTAATACACAGGGAATAAGACCAACACGTAGGTGGGAAGATTTGAACTACTAACCTCTTATTGAGGTGTAGGAGTTTTGCCCAATCGGGCTATCCCCGTTGGTTGAACATCATTGATTTTAAAAGGAGAAAAACATGGGTTTTATCATGGCATGTGTACAGCATGATCATATGTTTCAATCATTTATATACTTTGTTAATGGTATTCCTACTGGGCACTAGCTCACTCCAAATCTAACAAAACTTTCAGGACTTGATGGTGTGACTCCGCCCAAATGACAAGGTGGTGGAGATTTTGAATGGAGCATGAGAGCTCATTGGATGTTATGTGTTAAAGTTCCAGGGCCATTATGTGTTTTGGGACAAATGTTCATCTTTTTGTGTAATTAAGGGAATGCCCTTGAAACTTGTACACCATTAAGGCATCTTTACTTTGTTTTCTCTAACTCTTGAAACTATAATTTGTATTGTAAACACATGATGTAACAGTTTTGAATTAATTCAATGAGAAATAGATTTACTTAACGAAAGACTATATGTCTCTCAAGTGTGTTATCTCCTGAGAAATGGATTTAATTGGTTATATCTGGATAATACTTAATAATTTTTAATTATATAAAAAGTTATAAAGATAGGGACATTACAGGAATCTTAGGTTAAATTGTAAATCTACTACTGTCATTTTTTGCGGTTGGGAGATTTTGGAAAAATTCTATTTCTACACATCTAATTAGCTCAAGCCACACCCTTAATGAAATATTAATTTAATCACAATTATATCATAAATAAAAATGACTATAATAGACATCCAGCAACACCCATAATATTATATAAAAAAAAAATTGTACACATCTTTTAAGAATAAGAAAATTTTAATATACACATTTTGAATTAAATTTTTTTTTTAGACCCTAATTTTTTCATTAAGACCGATCTAATCATTAATCTCAATAAAAGCAGAACAGTGGTGGTCAAAACAAATAAAGCACATTAATCTCTTCCCACTACAAATTTTGTTTCTGTTAATAGTCCTCAAAACACAGCAGAACATAAGGGCCACCATTTGGTGCCCATATCTCAGAGCATTTTCAAACTTTCAAGGCAGCCCTGTGAACCATAGTTTCCTTGTGGATTTGGTGACATCTTTCCACAAAATGTTATTCTTATTGGAGATTAATTTATTTCTATTAATGTTTAGAAGTGTTTGTGTGTGAGGAAAAAGTGTACTATTTTGGAGGATTTATAATGGTCTTCAATGAAGGTTCAATGGAAGTCTTTTATGCAAGTCTTCAATGGAGGGAATTTCAGTTCGGACTGAAGTCTTCTTCAAGGGCATGGATGGGTCAATGTGAAAGTAGGGTTAATTAAAAGTGTGTGGAAAGAGGGTTAGGGATGTGTGTACAATGGTTATAAGTGAATGATGTAATTGTAACTTTAAGTGTGTGGATTGAGAAAATTAATTGATAATCAAATTAATAGGGGTGTGTATTGAAAAAAAGACGTACTTTGAGCAAATTAGGTGTGTGAAAATAGAATTTCCCGAGATTTTGGGATTTGTGAATAGAAAAATAAAATGTGTTTCTGGATTGCATGTTTGGATTTCTATGGATTGTCCTTAAATGGTTTTTGCAATGCTAGCTCTATAGTTCAAAACAATTAACATTTATTAGGCAACCATTTCGCCTATGTGATTGTCAAAGGAAAAGGAGGCATAAGATGTTTAAATCTCTTTTCTTTTCTTTTTTTTCCTACCCAAACTTACTTTTACCCATGTGATTATACCTCTTTTAATAATTGTCACCCTCTTATGGGACTTGTGGAACCAATGCCATTAATGGATCAATCTATTATTATAAATCTCACATTAAAAATAGGAGAATCCAAGAAACAAATACCATTAACATGGTGTGGTTTCACCATTAGCCATAACTAAGGTTATTAAAATCGAAATCCTACATTGTATTATTGGAGGAGTTTACAGGATTGGATCGAGAATCATAAGATCCTACTGAAATTAAAAATATTATGTAATAAATAAATATTTCTTCAAAGTACACACAAAATAAGTCTAAATTATACTAAAAGAAAGTGAAGATAACGTGAAAAATATAGTATCCATGTAAAATGTAAATATAACATTATATAATAAAAAACTCAATGGTAAAAATTTTATTTTATCAAAAAAGAAGGTGAAAAAAAGAGTTTTATAACATAACACTTTGCAATTTACAATAATGTATAAAAAAAAGTCGAAAAAATATTTAACAAAATTGGATATGAAAATATATTAAGAACCCAAAAGAATGGCTTGGCAGAATGATATTGTTTATCATTTGTGTGTACTTGGTGGAGTAAGTTTGAGTCACAAAAATAGTCTCTCCAAAAATTGAGGTAAAGTTGCATACATCTTGCCCACTAAGATTAAGGTTTTTTTTCCTCGATTAATTAGTTTTCTTAAATTACTGTAATATTTAAATATTTGTTTTCCTATTTTATTTTTCTTAGTCTATTTGATTCAATATTACATTTTTTTTTAATTAATTTGGATCACATAAATTGGTATTTAGACAATAAACATAAATTTATAATAAAATAGGCCATACAATACAAAACAAGGCTTACAAATTGGATTAGATATGATCAAATTCATATCAAGATTCCACGATCCTATAAAATCTAATTACCAAAATCAAAAGATCCTACCTATAAGGGATTTTGTACACAATCTGAATCAATTGTACCTAAATGAATTATAAGATCCGAATCGAAATTTTGATAGGGTTTTTAGCAATCCATAATATGCTATAAGAGAACTAAGAGAGAGCCAAGAATGTTTACAATTCCCTAAACCATGGGTGTTTATAAATTATACCCTTGTGCCCAAAAACAACTGTAATTGAAGAACAGATCTAATTTGGTTTTGAAAGCAAATTGGATGCAAGAGCTTTTAACAATCGGCAGAAGCAATCTTCCCAAAGATTTTAGAGGAAATATAAAAAACATGGAGTAGGAAAAATAATTACAAAGTAATGGATGTATAAGTGAATCATGCATTGGATTGTGTAAATAAAACTTATACCTTCATTACTTTGCAATTTTTTTTTCTACTCTCC